TATATATATATATATATATTATCGGCAACTTTTATAAGAGCTTTGATAGAATTCATGTTCCAATTTGAGATGCATTTGTTCACATTGATACTGTAGGAAGTGACTGGAATTCCTTCTAGTGCAAAGAAATTTTGAAATTTTTTTTTTTCTTTTATACGGCTATACTTGCATCCATTTTCATGGGCTTAGGGAGGACTTTTCCACAACTGAGTGTGCATTTAATTTTGATTTCTCGTAAAACCTGGAATAAATTCATTGGAACTTTACTAGTTCTCCTAATAATGACTTTAAAGGCTGAAGTTGATTCATGTGAAGCTGAGGGAAGATTAGAGTGGATTGAAGAAGGATTTGCTGGTTCTCCTACAATTCATTCTTTGTCTTAGCCTTACGAATTTGAGCATCTTCTAGCAATTTATATTCATATGCTGATTACGCCCTGTTTGGACTCGGTTGATCCTTGCATTTACGACATCAATACATTACAGATTTATTTATATGTGGCGGAAGACTTTTCTAATTTACACAAATTTACGTCGCCTGCATTGCTAAAGTCCTTTGTACCGTTGCAATCCCTTGGATACATCTCCAACTACTTTGGCCTACTCTTCTCTGAAATCTACTCGTTTTCTCATGCTACAGAGCCTACTCAAGCATTTCCCTCACCTGCACCCTTCATTCCAGATTTCTTGATGCTTTGAGTAAGAGTTAAACCTTTAGGGTATTTACATACATACCACGGAATTCTTATACATTTACATATCTAACACCTAAACTTCCAAATTTTATTTTATGTCACCTAACCTATGCATGAGGGGATACACTTCATCTCTTTAAAATTAAAATGAGGGCATTTTTGGATGTATTATGAAAGGTTTGGATGGTGTGAATGTAACATTTGAGTTTTAAGGATTGGGTGTATAAATACATAAGAATTACGGGCTATGTATGTAGTCGTCGCATTGGTTCGGTCCCCTTCTTGTTCGATTTGTTTGAGATGTAGTTTGAAAATGATATCATTTAGGTAGATTCGTTTACTGAATTAGAGGAAATGATACCTTGGTTGATTCTTGGATTGTCGGGCTGCATTTTCTTTGGGCCTTTTGGTTGATGGTTTTCGATGCAGTTTTGAGGGCCGAGACACCTTTCACCTCTTTGCTATTTCAGGTGAATCATTCCCTCCTCTCTCTCTCTCACCCAATTTTTCTTTTTTCTTCCGTGCTTCTTGATTTGAGTTTAGTTGTTTATGTCTGAAACATAAGCGCGCATATATAGTTGTGCTTATATATGAACCATCAAGCAATATCGTAAGTTGGATGCTCTTTTTTGTAGGTTTCAGGTCTTTATGATAAAGGCATTCGGTGGTAGAGCAGAATAATGTTTCATCCTACGACATCAGGACCCAACTCAGGAACCCGGTGAACTATAAGATGACAATATTATTCACCGACACCAAAATAGCAGAACACTCTTGCCTTCTTAGATTGTTGGCGATCATAATCCGACAGTGCGATCAACTTGTAGAGAATCATATTTTGTAAAAATGATAAAAATAGATATGATAAGAAAATATACGCTATTTAAAAAAGTATTTTGACTATAAAAAAATACATATTACTTTCTCTTATATGCATGAAAAAATATAAATTTTAAGTAATATAATTTGATTATCCACATGTCAATCGCCGGTACTGGACTAAGGAGTACCCTCCTAAATTGGTATTGTAGGAAACTCTTCTAGTTGAATGTCGGGCTCTATACATACGGGTGACCGATAGTTGCCTTCGGAGTCCCTTGAGAATACATAAATCTGAGCCTGCCCCGACCCAAATGCTTATGGTTTTCTTTCTTTCCTCAATTTTTTCTTGTGTATCCTACGGTTTTATTGGGATCTTTGTAGATCATTCGTGATTTTCTCAGAATTTTTCTCGTGTTTTCGACGATTTTCTTCGAGTTACCGTGGGGCATTTGTCGCTTTTCTCGAGCTTTTCAAGTGATGTTCGCTATTCATTTTTGTTTATATAAATTCATGCTTACACATTTCTTAAATTCTTTTCATTATACTCGTTTACTTGTACCTGTGACACCGACCTCATTTACGGGAGCGGCCGACGCGTCAGGTAGACCGGTTTATTTTATATTTACAACGTTTCGCTTTCTTCACTGTACTTTACTGCATATATATACAACTCATGCTTGCAATGCTACTGTTTATTGTTTACTGCGTTTCGTAGCATGTTTCCCTTTTATTAATCATGTTGCTTCTATAGACTTGCAATGACCTTTTAGGATAGAGGACAGCAGGACATCCAGTTTAGAAGGCACCCTATAGAGAGCCACTGACCTAACAACTGTACATTTATACACACCAAAACCCCAAACCTATGATCGATGTGTTAAGGAGTTTAGAGCAGTTTTTCCAAGAAGCGGAGTGTGGAAGCAAGTGGACGGAGAGCGGCGATCGAGACCACGACAACGACAACAGGGTGTAGGACGTCTCTTCAGAGTTCAGGTCCAATCGTAGGATAGTTGGGAAGTCATCGGGGTTCTCCCCGGATCTGTGAAATCCCCTACCTTTCACTCCATTAACTTCTAAAAATAATTGTTCACATTTTGAGTCATTCCCCTTTGATTTCCTCACATTTAAACTTAGAAACTTAAACTTTGCAATCTTGAAGACAAAATCACAATTTAATCGAGGGTCTTCTTAGGTGATTTTAATTGTCTAAGATGTAATTAACTTTAAGGGTTTGCCTCTATAGAGAACTTAAGGACTCAGCTTAATAAAAACATTATTTAACTATCTGTGTTAAATAACAGAAGTTGTCGACTTATAAAAAAAAGGTTTCGCAGACCAAACGGACGTCACAAACTCTTTAGTTTAGGTGGTTAAGTCTACTAACAAACGGTATGTTTATCCTTCGGGATAGCGTGTTATTTGCAATATCGTGTTCAACATCCTAAACTATCAAATATGTGAGATCTGTTCGGTCTTACTATATATATATATATATATGTATATATATATATATATCTTGTCTTCTAAATTTTAAGAACATGTGTATGTAAATTTTTTTAATGCCTAACGTATTTTTATTGATGTAAATTCATGAAGATGCTTTTAGCGAAATCTATAAGAGCGAAAACATTAAGCATCATTTGCATACATGCCCCTCAATTCTTATGCATTTACATATCTAACACCTAAATTTAGTTTTTTCATTTATATCACCCAAATCTTTCATATCAAATAAAAAAATCACCATTTTAATATTTAAAAGGTGAAATACACATGTTCATACATAATAAAGTTGGTATGTGATGTAAAAATTGAATTTTTAGCAGTTAGACATGCGAATGCATAAGGATTGATCAGTGGTATGTATGCAAATCTTCAAAATATAAAGCAACAAACTGCTTTTATTGAGATAAAACATATGGCATTCTAATTTCATGCGTTAACTTTCGAAGCACATCATATTATTTTATGATTAATATTAAAAACTAAACTTTGTTATGAAACGTGAAGGTGGGCGATCCAGTTGCCGATCACGAATGTTGGGTGAGGCCAGAAAACATGGAAACACCAAGAACACTTTACAAGATTGATCAGAGCACACCTGGAACCGAGATTGCAGCCGAAACAGCAGCGGCCATGGCGGCATCCTCCATTGTTTTCAGAAAAACTGACCGCCCTTATGCCCGTCGCCTTCTCAATAAAGCCAAATTGGTAACCAAATGATCATTATTTTTATCAAATTACACCCCCGAACATATTATTTTACTAAAACAATTCTTAAATCTTCAAATCTATCTCGCTGAACTACCCAATGTTTTCCTCTTCTGGGATTTTGCCTGAAACAGCTGTTTGAGTTTGCTAGGAACTACAAGGGAACTTATGATGGGGAATGTCCTTTCTACTGCTCCTATTCTGGTTATAATGTAACTCATCTCTCTCTCTCTCTCTCTCTCTTTCTCTCTCTCTCTCTAGCTTATATATTTATAAATTAAATGTATTTGTTTATTTAAGGAAATATGGTATGATAAGGGTGATGATGTTAAAATGTTTATGGGTGCAGGATGAGTTGTTGTGGGCTGCTTCATGGTTGTACATAGCAACGAGGAGAGATGTGTACTTCAAATACATTACAGAGGAAGCTATTACAGCAAATGTTGCAGAATTCGGCTGGGATCTTAAGTATGCTGGGGCCCAAGTTCTCCTGGCCGGGGTACATAAACATAATCTTCTTTAAAATGCCACCTATACGTTAGAAATTAAGCAAATATATAGAACTGTCTGGAAAATGATAAATTTGCTCTCTCCTCTATTTTTTTGGCTAAAAACTCCTTCGAACTAAAAACCTCATGAACATTTTTTGCTAAAGCAATAGTTTTGATTAGACATTTATGCATTGATTTAGAAAAAAGATCGAATGTTTTAATTTAAGTCTCTTTTCAATTCATATAATATAGCAGTATAGCTCGATGGAAATTGGGTAAGAGGTCAATTTATTCATGCATGTAAACATGTATGTATTTTATCGATTCAATTATGATATTTTAGATGAACATTTACGAAGGAGGAGGTGAACAGAATTTCAAGGTTCAAGCAGACTACTTTGTGTGCTCGATCATCCCCGACAGCCCCTTCCGCCAAGTGTATATTTCGCCAGGTATTTTCTCTCTCTATTTTTTGAAAAAAAAGTATGGTGGTCTTCAGTACAACATAGTTGTATTGGTTGTATTTTTGAGTTGTCTATAAAATACAATCATGTCATACTGAAGTCTGCATGCATGCATTATCCGTACCTAATAATTTCTCTTATTTTTTGGGACACTTACATATATATATATATACTACCCAGTTTTCATGTATTTCATATCTAATACCTAAATTTTATTTTATATATTTGTACCACCAAAATCTTTCATGTATCACATTAAAAATACTATTTTTTCATGCATAAGTGATGTGTATGTTAAAATTGATATTTAGGTGTTAATTAGATATATACAAATACTAAGAATTTGAGGACCATGCATGAATGTAACACTTTTACCTTTTTTTTCTTAAGAAGATTTACATATATACCACTCAACTCCTATGAATTCACATAACTTACACGTAAATTTTTTTTTCTTACAATCATTTCATCCTATCAATGCATGAACTTGTGCATTTCACCCTTTAAAAATTAAAATAGCAATACTTTTGAAATGATATGAAAGATTTTGACGGTATAAATATAAAATGATAAACTTTATGTGTTAGACATGTAAATACATCAGACTTGGGTGGAAAGCATGCTAATGCCTCTTTTTCTTGGGGGTTTTTCCGTACAATTGAACAAACTGAAAAATAAAACTAGACCCTCACCCATTTAAGTAATTAATTATATAAAGAGATCCAATACACAAAATATTTTTTGTTTCAGGCGGTCTTATTCATATTCGGGATGGTGCCAATACACAATATGTCACTGGCACAGCCTTCTTATTCAGCATTTATGGTGATATACTCGCAAGAAATCACCAAACAGTCAAATGTGGGAACCAGGAGATTCAACCCTCTCGCTTATGGCAATTTGCCAAGCAACAGGTACTTAAAAATGGAGAAATATTTATTACATATGGATATCAAAACCGTACATACAACACAGTCAAAGTCACATCATATTCAACTGAATTTATGGCGATGTATGTGTGACCACCACATTAGGGGTCAGCTCGAATAGATTTAGTATGTCTCAAAATCGGCTCGTGGGTCATTATGTTTTGTTTCGAACCCAATCAAATTTCTATGGAGAGAGAGAGAGGGACCCATTTCAAAACCCTAAATAATTAATATGTTGTTGCAGATGGACTATATACTAGGCAGCAATCCTCTTGGAAGATCTTATATGGTTGGTTTCGGTGACAAGTCTCCAACGCAGGCCCATCACAGAGGATCTTCAGTTCCGGTTCTCCCAAATGGCCAGAGAGTGAACTGCGGGATGAGCTTCGTGCAGTGGCTCAACAAAGACCAACCAAACCCTAACGAGCTCACCGGAGCTATAGTCGGCGGCCCCGACCGCTACGATAACTTCAACGACAAGCGATGGAACTCGGCCATGCTTGAACCATGCACCTATATTAATTCCCTCGCCGTTGGAGCCCTAGCGAAGCTGGCGGTTGGCAGTTAATTAGTGAGAGATTGGCCTCTTCTATCAATCTTAATTAATCTTAATTATCATTAATTAGATATAACACACCTGTATTATTGGCGGCTTTTGCAGTTAATTAAAGGAGGATTTTGTTTCTTTTTTCTAATAGCCTCTTGCTTGATTTTTCTTAATTATGGCATCAATGGCTGGCACTGAGATTGATCTCTTCGAGCTTTAAGCAGCTCAATTCTTCGATCTTTCTCTGGCCATTTTCACATGTTGTATATATTTTTAAGTTTTTTTTTAATGTAATTTTGGAAAACAAAGCCTTGCAAATTTTATATATACGGTGTACTATTTATACACATGTTAATGTTGTTGTACTCCATATGAATGTATGGTGATATTGTTATTCTGAAAAGCTGTATTAATAAAATCATAGAAAGGGTTTTAGGACATGTTGAATCCGAGATTGTCATTTGAATCACATCCATGAAATAGTGCGTAGAGCAAGGGGAAGTGAGACAGTGAGGAGAGGAGTGCTCTACTGAACATTAAAAAGAGGGAATTGTTTGACCTTTTATTCATGATATGATCTCCCATTGAGAGAGAGAGAAAGGAGTGCTCTACTGAATATTAAAAAGAGGGAATTTGTTTGACCTTTTATTCATGATATGATCTCCCATTTATAGATATAAGGGGTACAAGAATTAAAGTTACATTTATGCTCCTATTAAAGTTGGGTCTGCACAAGTTAATAATCTGGATATTATACCCATGTGGGCCTTGATTTTCGCCGTTCTCTGGCTCGGTCGATTTGGTTGGAGAGTTGAACGGATAAGCTATGTTGTTGGTCGGCCTTCTCGATGAGGTCGTTGGTCGGTTGGTTCTTCAGCTCTAGGCAACTGGTTGGGTTTTTAGTGGCGGTTGGAGCAGTCAATTCGACCAGTTGATATTAGTCGGGCGGATGGGCTGGGTTGGTCGTTAGTCCTTAATTCTTGTTGGGGGATTTCTTGTCTGCTGAGTAGGTTTTACCCTCGAGCAGAGGATGTAATCTAGGCTTGTATCATTTAAATAAATGTGTATGTCATAGCATATAATCCTATGTATATTAATAGAGC